GTCCGTACTCCCACCTCTGATTCTTGCCTATGTCCCTATGCCAACCTGTTAATCCGTTTTTGGCATTCAGGTTTATGTCAAGAATTTGATTACAGAAGAACCCTGCTGTTTTTACACTAAAGTGTATGTACTGTATTTGCTCTGGCTCTTCCTTTATGAGAGCATCTTTTACTTTGCCAGAAAACTGACGTTTTTCACTGTGTGATTGAATGGGAATATGTGTGTGGAGTGTCTGTGTGTGAATGTATTTGCATTGCATGCCAATATGTGCTTGAGTGTGGATGTATTGGTGCGAAGGCTCAGTGTGCATGTAAGGTTGTATTTGCACAAAGTCTCAAATGAGTGTGAATGAAATATATGTTGTTTGTGTACACACTTCCTCTGTCTCTAATCATATCAGGCCCCAACTCCCACAGCTTTTTCCCTGTCAACATCTCACATCTCTTTGAGTGCCATCTCTCTCTTTGCCTTTATCCCTCTTGTTCTCTTCTTATCTCTCTATTTCATCCATTGTATTACTTTTCTATCTATGACATCCCCCTATTATTTGTCAGTCGTTCACCTCCATGTCAATGTTTAAGCCTTCTTATATTATTCAGCTCTCATGTCAGCTTCCACTGCTTTTTACTGTCATTCACTTTCTTCCTACCTCACATCAGCTAAACATCAGGATCATCTTGACTATAGTTTGGTTCCCCTGTGTTTTGTGCAGCTGACACTACTTTAGAAGTAGGTCGGCAGTACTTCTGACTCAGAGCTGTCCCAAAATGGTCAAAGGGGGAAAAGCCCTGGCAGCTTTGGGCTAGGTACACACACACAGTAAACTCTACCTAGAAACCAATCTATCACCGGCTAAGTGTCCTTAATTCAACCAATAAGAAGCTGACTGGTTTAAAGCGGCACTGTCACACTGAGTTTACTGTGGCGGAACAGACCTCGCCATGTGTTCTTGGAGGGGTCTGCTTGACCCCCTTCCTACCTTCTGACTATGGTCCTGGGATATATGGCATTTGAAAACACTATTTGTACCCTGTGACAAAACTGGAGATTGTGCACAAATATGACTATTGTCCATATTTTTTATGATTCCCTTCTTTTGTTGCACTGTTCCCCATGTGTTTCATCTGTTGGTTCGGCTGGATAGACTACCAGACAAACTGTGGATTTACTAGGTGGTCACTATTTCATGTATCAGAGGAACATGGTGAGAACAATGGATGAAGCACATGGTGAGAACAATGGATGGCGGCTATTTTAACTCACAGACACTGTTTTGACTTTTCTACACGGTGCCATCTCGTCGGTATTTGATGCACAAAGACATCGTTCAGTAGTTTTAAACTACAGAACAGGGGACACATTTAACAGTAATTATTTTTCATATAGCCTGTATATGTTCTGCGGAATATGCATTAAACCGGATCTTCCAAACTACTTACGGATCTGGGTGAATTTTGGATATGTGGTTCTTATGGGGTTATTGCATGTTTTGGGGTCCCTGTGATATGTTTTATAATACTGTATTTTCCTGCCTGTGATAATTAAGTTAGTCTATTGTGTTGAGATAATTGTATCACAGGCAGAGGGGAGGATTTCTGATGTAATGAATGGGAGTGTTAGCTGTGTTGTAATGTGTTGATTGGTTGTTCTTCAAAACCCTGTGGGCAGTACTACGTTTGTAGAATGTGAACAAAAGAGGCTGTATGTGCCAGTACAGTCAGTTCTACTTCACCCTCAATTTGGAGTGCCGTCTCTTATTGGGGGAATCTGCTACAAGGGATTGCTCTGCTAGTCATACTCTCTTGCTATATCACTACTAAGCTCTTGTAAGAGCTTGTTCCTGTTCTGCTACCTGAAGGAGTCTACGGTGGTTATGGTGTCGGCTGGAGTGCTTGGAGCCCTCAGGAAGCGCTAGGAGCATCCTTCAACGGTGGTACCCAGTTGGGATGCCCGTCGATCCGTTACATTTACCTTTTCCCAATCGCTTCTTTCTCTCTTCCTCTCTTAGAATCTCATCTTCTTTTCTATATTTCTGATCTAGCTTTCTTTAGGGACTACTTTGTCCTAGGTATTTTTCCCACAATACTCACCCTACACCGTGTTCTTGCGTTATTTCATTTCAACATTCACAAATGGCCTGTCATGTAGACTAGAGCACTGGCAAAATTATCAAATTTCTTCCAAAAAGAAGGTCGGCAGTTTGTCCATTCGTGTTCAGATAAAATTCTGTATTATTTTTGGATCGGAATATCATTTGGAAGAATTAACCCCTAGGGACACCTAGTCACTGGGGGTATTTATTTTTACAATTAGCCCCCACCCACCGCCAATGGGTGGAGGCTTGGGGGGATAATAGATCCCACCCTTATCACTTAGCACCCCACCCACCACTAATAGGTGAAGACTAGGGGGGAACAATAGGCCCCCCACTTTTATTACTTAGAGCCCCTACCCACCGGCAATGGGGGATAGTAGGTTCCCCCACCTCACTCAGGGCCCCCACCTGCCACTAATCAGTGGGGTCCTTTTATTACTTAGTAGCTGGGGGTACAATAGGTCCCACCCTTATTACTTAAGGCCCCCACTGACCACTAATGGGTGGGGATGGGGGAGGAACAATAGGTTCCCCACCCTTTTATTATTTAGGGCCCCCAACCTTTGGCAATAGGAAAGGGCCAGGGGGGTTGAATAGTCCCCCCCCCCCCTTATCACTTAGGGATCTACAGCAGCTAATGGGTGGGTGCTTGTGGAGGAACAATAGATTGCCATTTTTATTACTTAGGGCCCCAACCCGCAAGCAATGGGTGAGGCCTGGGGGTACTATAGATCCTACCCTTATTTCTTAAGGACAACACTTGCCACGAATGGGTGGGAGCTGGGTCGGAACAATAGGTTCCCAACTTTTATTACTTAGGGCCCCCATCTGGCGGCAATGGATAGGGGCTGAGGTGGGATATAGATCCCCCTTATCACTTATGGATCTACTACAGCTAATGGGTGGGGGTTTGCAGGGAACAAAAGTCCCCCCTTTATCAGTTAGGGATCTCCTGAAGATAATGGGTGGGGGCTGGTGAGGAACAATAGGTGTCCCTTTTATTAATTAGGGACACCACCTGCCACTAAGGGGTGAGGGTTGTGGGGGTACAATAGATCCCCCTTTTATTACTTAGTGTCCCCACCCACCACTAATGGGTGGAGGTTTCGGGGGACAATAGTCCCCTTCTTATCAGTTAGGGATCTCCTGCAGCTAATGGGTGGGGGCTAGGGAGGAACAATAGGTTGCCCCCTATTATTAATTAGAGACACCATACCACTAATGAATGGGTGCTGGGGGGACACTAGGTCTCCCTTTTACTTTAATAGCCCCCACTCACAGGGCATGGGGGGGATTGGAAGGGGACACTGTGTATATTATTAGGTGCCACACTATGGCAGTATTGGGGACCTATCAGGTCCCCCTTTATTGGACTAATCAGGTCCCCCTTTATTGGACTAGGCTGCTCACTGTTTAGTAGACATATCCCTATATGCAGCATAGCGAGTATGGGCAGGATGGAGAATGTAACCTCCCTTATACTAAGATGGGGGTCATATTGACACCCTCAGAGTAAAGGGGGGCATGGGGAGAATTTAAGAAGTGGCGGGGAGCACAGCTTCTATTTTTAAATATTACAAGGAGGGAGCCACGAGCTGGTAGCTCCCTCCTTGTAATAAACTAAAGTAACGAATGAAGACTGAATTGCAATTCGGTCTTTGCTTCACTCAATATAATTTCGATTTGTTCACCTTTCTGACTAATGGATAAATAGTCGAACTTTGGTCCTAAATTCGGAAAAAAACAAATGCCCAAGTGTTCAACTGGGCATGCTCACAAATTGCACAGACTGAACTAGTGTGGGCAGATGAAGCCATTGTGGGACACGTCAGTCAAGGAACACTAAGATGGCGGCATCTACGGCATAGATCCGGACAAGAAATAAAGAGGTACAAAAAGGTGAAATGGGGCTCTAGGGGCATTTGGGAATAACTAGGGGAACAATCAAATTTAGAGTCGGGAGGGTGAGTTAAAAAAAATGGATGTAGTCTTGACAGTACAGCTTTAAGAAATGTGGATAGTTCTTAACGCCATTACTTACATGGATCATAGTCTGCTTGTCACAGAATAATGGTAAGGGAGTGAATTATAAGTTCTCAGGAGCTTAACCAGGGTCTTGACTGAATGGCAGCTGCACCCCCTTATCCCTTTACAAGACTATCTAGAGCATGGTTCCTCAAACTCCAGCCCCCTAGATGTTGCTGAACTACAACTCCCATGATTCTCTGGCTATCTATGTAATTCAAAGAATCAAAAGAGTTGTAGTTCAGCAACATCTGGGGGGCCGAAGTTTGAGGACCCATGATCTAGAGGGATGAGTCCACCTCCATTCTTCCAGTTTCTTTTACCATAAACTATTTACAGTGTCAATGGGCTCTTTGTATCAATAGAGACAACTACATAGGCACAATAAACAGTTTGAGTAGATGATTATTAAATATTTTTTTCCAGCCTATGGGGAAGCCGTGATGATAATATAGGTACCTTCTTGTTGACCTGATTCAGGGGTTAAAAACTACTGCAAATCATTGGCAAGCATTAAAGTGTACTGTTAACAAGTCTTCTTACAGGGACAATCCACTTCCCAAATACAAAAATAAATACATACAAATCACTGTTTAGTAGATATACACCAAATACAAAAATGCATGCAGTTAATAATGCATTTTTTCTTTGGGGATATATCTAGAAACAGTTTGCAAAACCTGCAGTTCTCTTGTCTAAAGCCTTTTCAAGCCCTCTGATTTTTTTTTCTGTGGATGTCCAACCACAGACTTCCAAAAGCAACTCAATGAGAAGATCTGGGCAATTGTTTGCTTTTTGAGTTTAGCTCCACTGAACTGAAATAATAATTTTAAAAAAGTTGTCAGCTTGAAAGCCTGAGGTAAAAAGATTCAAGGGTCTAACAGGCTTCCCCAAACTCCGGCCCTCCAGATGTTGCTGTAATACAACTCAGATAGGTTGAGAATCATGGGAGTTGTAGTTCAGCAACATCTGGAGGGACGGAGTTTGGAGAAGCCTGGACACTAGAGTGTCCATTTAAGCTATTGGAAGTAATGTCACTCACTTTGATTTTGCCTAGGATTGACCTGCTGAAAAAATTGGCATTTACAATTTTTATTATTATTTGTTATGCTGCCGCCCACATATTCCTAGAACTCAGAATTGGTGCAAAAAGTACACAAAGTATATTATGAGGGAGCTTGTTGACTCATACAGTAAAAATCCACCCTCCACCATTCCAGCCTCAAAAAATAATTAAAATGTTTTCTGTTAATGCAAAGCTCAACCAAGTCAATGCCATTATAACCTTTGGATTATAAGATGGTGGTTCATTTAAGATGCTATTTATTCTCATTCGTTGAAGTGTTCCCATAGAAACTCTTTTTTTCAAGTACTAGGTAAATTGTTAAGAAGTACATCTTATTTTGATTATATGCTGCAGGCTCTCGTAAGTAAATACTTTATTATCATAGTAAACATTTCATTTGTTTTGCCTAGTAGCTTATCCATTAAAATCCAATTTTGTACCTCTTCTCCAAATAATTTCCACCAAACAAATACAGCAATCAAATTAAAAAGTATTAAAAAATCTCTTTTTAAAAGCTTTCCATTCACTGTTTGTTTGTTTGTTTGTTTGTTTGTTTTTTGTTTTGTGGGAAGTCTTTTGTTCTGCTAAATCAATCCCTCTAACAGTGACCAACAAACAGAAAAAACAAATGAAAAGATTGTATAGGCTTCACATCTATTGACATGCTAACATTCTGAAAATATGTATATAACAAAGATAATATATCGAACTATTTTAGTTGAAAAAAAAACTATAGTTAAGTTAAAAATATACATATATTTATAAAATATATATTTCCAAAATAATATTTAGAAAGTACAAATTGCAGGTAATTACACAAATAATGCAGGTGACTAATTGCTTATAGCAAACTTAGTCATGTCCAAAAGAATTTGGAGTCATGAGTTTGTGCTACATTATGTAACAGACTCTACAATATTTTCTAGTTATCCTATATTACATAGATCATTCGCTTTCGTACATTCTGCTAAATTCTGGGTATTAGCTTGAAAGGGAGAGGTGTATAATTAATAATGTAACTCACTTGACATTTCATGTGATACTGGTTATGTCAGCCATTAATTCAAATAAATTAGTAAATCATTGAGCATAGCCTAGTGGTGGACCAAGAAGAGTTGAAGAGTGAGTTTCCCACCATATCAGCCCTTTTCTCTGCAAATAAGCGATTTCTCCAAGTACTCTGATTTGACTTGATCCTTTTGACTATCAGTGATATGACCAAACATCACTTGTGTAAGAAGAATTTACCTTCCTGTCTCCAACCAGCAGAAGCCACAGCAACACATGAGTGTCCCGATAAGGCGTCTTCCTGTGCTGTCCAAGACACCAAGGGGGACTTCTCTACTAAAAAAGATATTACCTTCTTGATGGTCCTAAATCTAGCTTGCTAAATTTATCTTTAAGCATGATTTCTCAAAAATGTCTCTTAGTAATGGTTTTGTTAAAATGGCAGCTATCATCTCTACTGTTGGTCAGTACTGCATCTCAATAAGTAATTTCTGGTACATATGTCTTATTGCATGATGTCTATCATCAATGTGCTTTGTGTGTGCCTTTACTTTCTCTGTTTGCATCATGTTCATTGGGGTCTGTTTTTCTTCTATCAGTTGGATGTGTTTTTGCGCTGGCTTTCCAAAGTCCCCTAGAAGTTGGTTAAGCCATTGTGCTACCTTGGAGATATACTCTGCTTCTCTAGAAGAACATAATTCTTTCTTATGACTAGTACAACTAATAGGACATCTCCCATATATGGGTATTTATAGGTTTACAATATGATTTGTCTCCAACACAGTCTGCATCGGTATACCATACTAACCTGGAATCTCTGACAGCTGATAAGTTTAGTTTTAGATGAACATATATCCTACTACTCTCTTGAGTGCAATCCAGTCTCTTTGACAGGGAGAGCTAATTTTTCTGCACAATATTTCCACTGCAGATGCAATGTCAGGTCTACAAGTTGTAGCTGGGTACAAAATATCCCTACTACTGTTCTATAAGAATTGCAGTTGGATAAAGTCTCACTTTCCTCAAACTCTGATGGAAAGTTCGTACACATGGGTGTAACTACAGCATGGGCTTCCTTGAGATCTATAAGCTCTACTGGAATTTTTTTCCTTCATTTGATAAGACTATAGTTGTCATATCTTACTATACTTCTATACTTGCAATTCAGGATAAAAGGCAAAATATCCCAATCTTCTGACTTCTGCTTCTTTGTTCAATTGTTTAACTATCTCTGTTGTCTTTAACCGCACAAGATCATATATTTTACATAAACTAGTAAATAAGTCAATTTCCATTTCTTTGTCTTGTAGACATATATTTATCTACTTTACTCTGAAGTTACTATTTTCAGTTCTATGTGCATTTCATATAGTTTCTCATTGCATGTGCTGGCAGCTTGTTTGAGACTGTAGCGGAGCTCCTATATCCGAGCTAGATATCTCCACCGTAATTCTCTCTAAGCTAGAAGAGCCTTTCAGTGTTTTTAACCCCTTTCCCCAGTCAGACGACACATAATGCTGGGGAGAATAACTAGTTTTATTGAGCACAATGCAGCCTTTTATACACAGACCTCCAGCATGTGGTCTCAATTCAATACATAGCTGATCCTGCCTTGGCATCTCTGTATCTGGGAGATAATTTGAGTTAGCACTCGCTAAACTAATCATCTCCCAGATACTAAGAGCCTAATACAGAAAAACCCCAACATTATAACCGAAACATTCCCAAACTCCCACACATCATCCATCTCCGGATAGGTCTGATCCAAGCGCCCCGGGGGTGGTGATCACGGCTGAGCTGGAGTTCCAGAGTAATTATAGATAGGTCCCGCTGAAGGTGTTGTAATACTCTGGGTCTCTGTAACGGTTTGTGGACCTGGTAGTGAGGGGCGCTTAGCTAGAAAACATGGAGGGGAGGGGGGACAGGGAGCCAGGGGATTGATGTAGTCTTTTGTGGGAGTTTTTAGTATGGCTCAGGTGGTATGCGCCATAGAGCCCATATACAGTCATAGGGAAAAGAAAGTATACCCTCTTTGAATTCTATGGTTTTACATATCAGGACATAATTGTTATCATCTGTTCCATAGCAGGTCTTGAAATTAGATAAATACAACCTCAGTTTAATAACAACATGTAGCATATTACACTGTTTCATGATGTATTTAACAAAAATAAAGCCAAAGGGGAGTGGCTTGGATACCGAACAGAGCGGACGCATGTCAGCTGAGCTCCAGCTACCCGCAGCTCCAATAGCGCAATTATACCGGCGTCCTACCCCACAATCACCCGAGCCAGCAACCGGCATAAAGCAGCAGCATGGTGAAGAGAGCAAAAAAGCTCTGAACCGCCGCAGGAGAGGGCTTCCGCAACATCAGCCTCCTTCTGCAGCCAAAATGGCGGCGCAGCAGGACCCACGCTATTCCTACTCTGAGGAGTAAATCCTCGATGCCCCACACGGAGGGCCTGATCTCCCCACACCAGGGGGAAGACCTGACAGCCCCAGCCACAAGGGGAGACATCAAGGCACTAATGCACAACATCCGTGCCTTTTTCAATGCAGACCTAAACATTATACGTAAAGACATCACAGTAGTCACTGCCAGAGTTCAGGCTACTAAGGACAGCATCCACTCCATCACACAACAGACAAGCACCAATGAACTCCTGGCAACAAACAAAGTCATGCAGATCAGAATTGATACCTTAGACGATGCACGGAGACGCAAAAACCTCAAAATTAGAGGTATAACTGAAACAATTGGTGAACAAGAATTGCCGCATCTAGTTAGGCAACTCCTGTCTACTCTGCTGCCCCAATGCTCTGCAAGGGACATCCAAATCGATTGCTGCTTCCGCCTCGCGAGACGTACTGGTACGCTTCCTCACACTGCAGGACAAACTAGCAACCCAAGAAGCTGTGAAAAACAAAATACCACTTCAATTCGAAACAATGCAGCTCCAGTTTATGCAAGACCTATGCCGATCCACCTTAGACTGGAGACGAGCTTTTCAACCAGTCACAAATTCCCTACAAACGACTAACATCCCCTATAAATGGGGACAGTCTCGCACCTTCACAGCTACTAGAGATGGCCGCACTTACCAGCTTCTTACTGCGGAGGACTCCTCAGCCTTTCACACATACAGTCTATTGCTTACTGGTGGAACGTTCAATAGTTTGTAACTTAAAAATATGCACTAACAACCTATGTCATATCATTGTTAATGAAGTTATGCATATACAAGCTGTTGTGGCATTGTATGTGAGAATGTTAACTCCTTGCAAAAATGGAGAAGCCATGTGTGAAAATGGCATATAATTCAAAAAGCGTGTACTTTTTTCCCATGACTGTATTTCTTTCTGTAGCTTGCATACTAGACCTTTATTTGTTTCAAATCCTTAAGACTTCATCGTGTAAAGTTCTTCATCTGTTTTTCCATTCAAGAAAGCTGAACAGACATTTAGCAGCTCTACATGTAACTATTTAAATGTTGCAATAGTTAGTAATATTCTCATTGTGCTAAAATTGACCACAGGTCACATCATAGTTGTCTTCATATTTATGAGTAAATCTTTTTGCTACCAATCTAGCTTTGTAACGGATTAAATTTCCATCTACATCAAGTTTTTGCTAGAATACCCACTTGCAACCTATAAGTTTTTGCCTTTAGTAGAAGTTAATCAATCACACTCCAAGATGAAGATGTTAATGTTGATATGGCAAGAAGCAAGAAGATGTCAGGAATAGTCGTACTATGTTGGAGCTCCGTGAAGAATCTTGAATTTTTTTTAATTAGCTGGCCATTCACAAATTTTGAACATGAAGTTACTGCTACTCAAGTATAGCCTGCTGTCTCGACTATGATCTGCAACATGACTGCATGAAAACCCACAGTGGTCTTTACTACAGCCTATCCACACCCTTTCTGGTGGCGGAGTTGTGGAGAAGTGGTCAATCTCTCTATCTCTGGTCTACCTGGAAATTAAACCATGGTAGTTGAGTCCCATTGCCCCCCTTTCCAGTACCCATCACTCTTGGGTCCCACAGAGGCATAGGATGAAGCAAAGTTGGGTTCATTGTCCCATGTAACATGGCAGCTGCTATGTGCCTACATCGCCTACCACTCCCTACTAACTCTGGGCTTGACAAAATCATTGATGAGGCAGAATGGTCGTCAACAGCCATTCACAGGTCGTCAACAGCCAACTTATCTCAGCAATTACATCGGGTTCCTGTCTCCAATTTGGCAGAGGGGTCCTGTGTTGAACTGCAGGCCTATGCAGCTGCCTGGGCTGTTCCTTCCCCTCAGGAGTTCTGGAAACCCAAGAGGCCTTGGTATATTCTGCATCTCCACACAAAATGTTGCAACAGCTTTGATTGTATGAAGCATTGTTACGGGACTTACATGATGATTCTGATCCATCAAGGCAAGACTGGGGGAGTATTCAGAGAGTTTGCAGAATTGTGGATCGGGAATTTTTTGGCCTAAATCTGCATTGTGGCACTGCGTCCTGTCTCTTGTGGGAATTGGCTGATCGCAACATGGAGACTGGGAGCATTTTCTAGTGTGCTACACCGTAATCTCAGGAGTTTGCACTCTCTCCATCACCCACTCTGATTTTCTGTGGGAACCAATCGTGTTTACTTGTTAACAGGTGCAATTTTTCACTTATGTTAGTTATATTTCTGTTTCTTTACGTTCTATTTTCATAGCTCATTTCAACAAATATTGAGCCTAGTGTTGAGCACTCTTGTAGCATTCAGATAAGTCTGACACACTCTAAGTGGTTCCCTAACATATGCAAATTTTCGGTAAGGTTGGGATTGTTCCTCAAGTTCTTCTGCATTTACTTTCTAGAAATCATAAATTATTCCATCTGATTTGTCTTTTACTTTTATTTTTCTTCTTTTTTTCTTTCTCTAATTGATCTGGAACCTATCACCAACAGTAAAATTACAGCACCATACCATTCATGCAGGGTATAGCCTATTATGCATAAAAGGGACACTGTAGGCACCCAGACCACTTCAACTAATTGAAGTAGTCTGGGTGCTGTGACCCTTTTGCACTTAGTGCTGCAATGTTAAACATTGCAGTTCCAGACAACCACTTGGGGTGCTTCCAGAATCCTAACAACTTTTGGTCCGTTATCTGATGCTGGACGTCCTCACGGACCTCCAGCGTCAGATTTTCCCCATAGGAAAGCATTGAATAATGCTTTCCTGTGGGGAGGTCTAATGTGCACGCCGCCGTGGGCGAAGCCTGACCCAGCACCGAGGGACATCGGCGCTGGATTCAGGTAAGTGGCTGAAGAGGATTTAACCCCTTCATCCCCACGGGCGGGGGGGACCTATTAACCCTATAGTGCCAGGAAAACTGCTTTGTTTTCCTGGCACTATAGTATCCCTTTAATCTTATACCTCTCTATCATTTACTAACTTACTATACTATGTTACTCATGTGCAATTATCACTGTTACTAATATATCAGAGTGCAGCCTTCTACACCGGCAATGTTTATCACCACTGGAGTTTCTATGTTATCGGTTTTTCATGCTCAGATGTTTATTGCAGTTGTTTGTAATTTTAATCTAAATTGCATCAACTATTCTAGACGGAAGAAAAAACAAGTGCAGCTTTTTTTGCATATGTTGTCAATCTTTTTCACAATTTATGTCTTTTCTGATGTGTTTCTGATAGTCTGTATTATACTTTCTGCACTGCAATAATATTAGATAACAAAAAAAAATGGGGATGAAAGTATCTGAACTGGATATGCTTCTAGGACTTAGTTTTAAAATGTCAGCAGTTTTATCAGAAGTATCTAGAAAATCAATAATTTGCTCTATTCCTCTTGTTCTGACAAATCAAATTTCAAATGGAGTTTTATTTGTAGCTTTTGCAGGTACTCCGTTTTGTAGATATATAGCTATTAAAACCCAGCTTCCATGAGGAACTGTGAATCTGCTAGCATGCACCCTACCATCTCCATCAAAGATTGACTCTCTCAGCAACACCACTCTGTTCTGGACTGCACGCAAGTGCTCCATTCCTTTATCTCGAAAATATGCAGCAACATGGTGGGACATGTACTTAACATCATTCTCTGTGAGAAGTGCCTGAGACTCTCTCCCAAAATGGCTTCAGCACATGCAATGCAGGTTTTTAATTTCCCTGCAATCTCTGTTTTGGTTATCAAGAGTCAAGTCACACAACATCTGGAATAATCATCAACAAATGTTAGCATATACCTATCATGCCTACAAGACATGGCAGCATTGGACCACACATCTTTGTGAATGATCTGCACAGGGTCCAATTAGTCTATTTGACTCTGTCTGGGACAACACAACACTCACATTCTTCTGTATTGCAATCAACCTAATAAGGTTCCATCTCTGTGTCCAAATCATCCAAGCCACATTCACTATGTTTCTTCTGACAATATAGAGGCCCTCTCTATACAAGAAGTTTTTTTGCAAGATGAGGCTCTTTATTTAAAAAAAGCATTCTTTCTTTTTGCCCTTTTTGTGTACAGATGTATTGCCTTGGCATCTGTGATAAGCTGATTTTTGTTTCCTATGATATGCTTCTCAGTGTTTTGTAAATGCTTGCATTTCACCACTTTCTGCATTTTCACCTCTCCTTACTAACTCATATTTAACATGTGCTGTAACATGTATTACAGATAGATTCTTTCTTGCTGAAGAACTGATCCAAATAGATATTTTGAGAAACCTTGTAGGAAGATGAGTATAAATAGAAGATTAGATTAGGCACCATTGAGAAGGGGATTGTTAGTAATAATATCTAGTGCCTAATCTGAATGTGTTGGAGGACTTACAGTTGCTGGTAACATTTTATTGTATCTAAGGTGCTCTAGGATTAATGTTATCATTGGTCCTGAAGAGGAAGTATGTTATATTCTTAATGAAATGAAGATAGGAAAAAAAGGAGAAAAAGAATGGAGCTAAACAGTTACAGCACCTCCTTATTGGGGGATAACCCCGGTGTAGAAATAAGAGAAAAAGAGAGAAATGGAGGAAGTAACAAGGACAAGATGAAAAATGCAAAAATAATGTGTATTTAAAACTCAATATTTAATCAACAGGCTAAAAAGTCCAACTGGACAAAATGAAACAAGATAAACCACACACAAAAATACAAATAGTACTAGCTTGAAAATGTACCATTAATGATAACTCTTTGTACTCTATTTTTAAGCCAATGTTCTACCCAAGAACTAGTATTTTCAACTAGACCAATTTCTTTGAGTTTGAATACTAATCTATTGTGTGGAACTGTATCAAACTCCTTGGCAAAATCCAAAAAGATCACAACCACTGCAACGCCCTGATCTATACTTCTACTTACTTCTTCGTAGAGTGCAATCAAGTTAGTTTGACATGACCTGCGCTTGATAAAACTATGCAGATTTTTCCTAATAACCACGTCCTTCTCAAGGAATTCTTGACTATTATCCCATAATAACCTTACAAATACTTTTACAGCCACAGAAGTTAAGCTCACAGGTCTATAATTTCCATGCAAGGATTTTCAATATAGGAACCACATCTGCCTTCCTCCAATCCTCCGGAACACTTCCTGAAAGAAAGGAATCTTGAAAGATTGAAAACAGAGGTTCACTTATTTCTACACTTAGTTCCTTAAGTACTTGTGGATGAATACCGTCAGGCCCTGGAGCTTTGTTTATATTAACTTTCTTTTGTTGCTGCAGCACCTTGTCTTAAGTAAGCCAATTACAATTTTTCTGCAAGTTTTAAGCATCAATTATTTGTATATCTATTGCCATGGGTTCTTACTTAATATATACGGAGGAGAAATAGTTATTTAAAATCTCCACCTTTTCCTGGTCTTTCTGCCTGGTCTTTTTGAATAAAAAATAACAGAAGTGGTGTATTCCCCACCAATAGATATAGGTGCTGTGTGAAGTTTTCTGTGATGGATATGAAATCCAATAGTGCAACATTATCAATACAGAATGAGAGATAATAAATAAAAAGTAAAGCACTCACAAGGATGGTTCACAATCTCAAAGTAGGATTGCACTGCCTTAGGGATATCTTATTGGTAGCAATCTCCTCGATGAATAAGTAGAATATATATATAAAAGGAAAAACAATATACTGTTCACATAAATACAGCAATGGATGTAAAGTAT